CTTGGTCAGTTTCATGTTTTCACATGTTTACCTCTGCAGTTTCATAGCGTTGTATCACGGGGGTTCTGACCTAAAAGGCAGGTGGGAGAGGGGATTGCAAGACTATTGTAGGCAGAACAAGGGCTTTCCACCTTACTTCTGGTGTGCTGCTGGTAGAGGTGCTGCCTTTAGTCCTGCACAGCCAGAGAGGAATGTAGCTGGCCAGGTGCCCCTTGTAATGCCAGTGCCACTACCAGCTGCAGCACAGAAGTGAGAGTTATAGGATATAGGTTACTGTATGTCTAGTTTTCCATTAGTCTCCTGCTGGAGTGGGAGTGAGATTGTTGAAACTGCAGCCTCCCTGCACTGGGGTGTGAGACAGCTAGAGCTGCAACCTCTGTTCCAAAAGGCAACAGCTGGAGTTATAGATCTTTCTAGGGCTGGGGGAGGTCCTAGAGGTGGGTCTGACCCATTCCAGGAACACTTCTGCAGGGTAAGAGAACATCACATCCCTCCCATTTGCGGCTGGTACTAGCAACTGGAACCCTGTGATCAATAGGAGTCCCTAGCTGCATGCTGGATTTCATGTAGGAAATCAGATTTAACAGTCTGTGACCTGTTTTTTCAAAGCTGTGAATTTGGTAGGGCTCTAATTATGAAGTGATATTATCATGTTGCTCATTAGTAACTGTCTTTTTCATTATGAAACTTCCTTATTTTTTTGTTTCTTATCAACTGTCACATAAATTTGATTGTCCCTGTACTAGACAAGTTTTTATCATGGTCATGTGACTGTGCTGGTTGAAATGTAGAAAAATTTCTAGAAGTCCAGGAAGTAGTTAATCTCATGGGAGGAAGTGGAATTTAAAATATTGTCTTTGTCAACTGTAATTCTGTTAGGGTGTGTCTACACATGCACCCTCTTTTGAGAGAGGAATGCAAATGAAGACATTGGAAATTGCAAATGAAGCCCGGATTTAAATATCCCGCACTTCATTTGCATATTCGCGTTATGGCACTATTTCGAAATAGAGCTATTTTGAAATAACAGATGCTGTTAAGACACGGTTATTTCGAGAGAAAACCCTTCTCTTGAAATAACTGGCAAACCTCATTTTATGAGGTTTACCAGTTATTTCGAGAGAAGGGTTTTCTCTTGAAATAACTGTGTCTTAACAGCATCTGTTATTTCAAAATAGCTCTATTTCGAAATAGTGCCATAATGCGACTATGCAAATGAAGCACGGGATATTTCAAATGTCTTCATTTGCATCCCTCTCCCTTAGTTCATGTCTCCTTAATTGTGGTATTATTTTTAAATCCTCTCTCCTGCCATTGAGTCACAGACAAAACCCCCCCATTGGCTTTTGTGCAAATTGTGCATGTGGAATAATGACAGGATCAGGCCTCAGTAATTACAATTAGTAGTTTCTTTTCCACTACATAATGTTTTTCTCTCTTTCTCCACTGTGGACTGATGTGTCTGACCAAAGGGCACTGCTTGTATTCAGAGAGATGTATCTTTCTGTAAATATAACTAGTGTGTTACCACATACTTGGCAAACAAGGATCATCCTGAATTTTGTGGATGATTTGCCAGGTTTGGGGTTTTTTTTTTTTCAGTGGGAGAAACTGAGCCTGAATGTGTTATGGTTGAAAGTCAAGCTCTTTGGTGGTAGTTCAATTGGATTTTAAAATGTGAATCTAGTGGGTAGTATCTCAAATTATTAATCAGGATATGGTGGTATATTGAAGGATTCTGCAGGTGAATGATGATTCCAGTGTATTTTAGAATATTTCTGTTCCTCCTGCCACCAATTTAGCTGCTATCTTTCAGTGTAAGATAGGGACATTAAAATGTGTTTAATTTTGTAAATGTGTAACTGCTATACATTTCAGCGGTTACATGTATAAACATGGTGGAGCAGACAGGAGCCAGTGCTCGTGGGGCACTGGCTTAAAAGCTGCCTCCTCCCTCTTTCCTCTCCTGCCCATGCTGTTGCCTTTGTGTGTTTTTAGGCAGCAGCGTGGGGTGGAAGTAGGTGGCTCCACATAAGCTGGCATGCGTGGGGAGCCAGCTTAAAAGCCAGTGACTTGTGCATACCAGCTCCCACCTGCATTCCTGTCCCTGCTGCCTCTGTTTCAGAGGCAGCTGGGGGAGGCGGCTCCACAGGAGCTGGTACGCACACGGAGCTGGCTTAATCGTACTGATACAGAGGCAGCAGTGGTGGGGGATGCTGCATGTAACTGTTAGAATTAACCTGATAAGCCCATGCTCATTGGTTAATCATGTAAATGGCTGGCTACATGTTCAGAGCCCTAATATAAGGTTTCTCCAGGCTTGCACAATATCAAGGCCCAGATCTGGGGAGAAAAAAACAATTTGGATAAAGACTAAATTGTTCTTAAAGGATCCAAAATGAGTGACTGCAGTCTGGAGCCAATAACCTCAGCTGTTACTTTTAATTTTGTTTAACATAAATTTAAGAACATGTTGCAGGGGTGGGGAAGCATCCTTAGCTTTATGTGAAATAACTATGAACGAAGGTATAATTCTAGTGAACCCAGAAGTGCTATACAGAATTTAACTTATTTGTTTTATTTCAGCCAAAATTAGGAGACTATACGACATAGCTAATGTTCTCAGTAGTCTAGAGCTTATCAAGAAGGTTCATGTTAAAGAGGAGAGAGGCCGAAAGCCAGCATTCAAATGGACAGGACCAGAGGTTTTACCAGATACTCAGGGTGAGTGTTCTGCTTTACTTTCCTTTTGTCTTGGTTGGCACGAATTGCCTTTTTTCCACCTAAACTTACACTGAGGGATAGTTTAATTTTTCTCTAAAGAGTATTTTTTTCCCAGTTTGTCAGATAATGCCTGCATTCTAATCACCAACCAAATAGTAAAAGAACTGTTTTATTGTTCATGTTACATGTGATATTATTTTCATTTTCTATTTTAGATACAAAACCTTTAACTACTACCACTTCATTAGTTCCATCTAATTCTGCAAAATCTAAATCTCCCAAAGAGCAGTGTTCAAAAAATCTCTTCCCTTTGAGAGGCAAGCAAAACTTCACTCGGCATCCATCGCTAATAAAGCTAGTAAAGACTATCGAAAGTGACCGGAGGAAGATCCATTCTGCTCCAAGCAGCCCCAGCAAGACAAGCACACGTATGTAATTAGAAAGCAAGTTGCTCTGTCTTTTCCTGCATAGTCTATTGGAGAGATAATGTGGGTAAGGTAATATCTTTTATGGACCAATTTTTGTTAGTGGAAGAAAGAGAGAGAGTTCAATCGTAGTCCTGCCATGAGTATAGTGAGGTAGACTAGATTACTATAATCTTGTAGGTTCAATCGTAGTCCTGCCATGAGTATAGAGAGGTAGACTAGATTACTTTAATCTTGTATTTAGCTGTGACACTCTGAGTACCTTCCTTTAGGTCAGGGAAAAGCTCTGCGTAGCCGCAAAGCTTGTGTCTCTGCCAACAGAAATTGGTGCATTGGAACATATTTACCTCACCCATGTTGTATTTCCAATATCGTGGGACCAACACAGCTACAATAGATATGCTGTTAACATATTGTATGAATCTATTGTTAAATAGATATTGACGTTTAACTTCTTTGGATTTGGTTAACCAGTGCCTGGAGCAGTCCCTGCACCCGCACTGCTACAGGACAGTTAAGTGGTTAACATTTTTAAATGGGATTTTACATCCCTAGTTAGCATGTGCAACATAGAGTTGCAGCCATTATATTCCAGATCTAAATTTGGTTAACTATTTGTAATTACCTGCTCCTGTTACTAGGAGTTATGTAGGTTGTGCACTTTCATGATTTATTTTTATTATTAAAGAAGAAAATGCCTTAATTTTTAATTAAGGCTATTAATGCAATGCTATAGAAAACAAAATGAAGTTAAATATTCTGTTAGGAATATGTTTTATGGATATGCATACTTTACCTTTTTCTGCACTGTGGCTAGGTTTGGCAAAAAAAATTTTTATTTTTTTTTACTAGCTTAGGAATATGTTTTATGGATATGCATATTTTACCTTTTTCTGCACTGTGGCTAGATTTGGCAAAATTTTTTTTTTTTTTTTTACTAGCAGTCATTTTGCGTAGATTACACTTATAGGAAAGTTCAAGAAATTAAATATATGTAATATAATTTTATATTAATATGCTTGCTAAAGGGAAGTAAAGAACAGTTTTAAATTTGTAGGATTTCAACTTCAAACATTATTCAGATTATTGAATAATTATCATACATAGTAAGTTTGAATCAGAAACTCATAAAGCTTCCATTACTTTTTCCGTAACTAATTTGAATTATTTTGTGATTTGTAACAGTAAAAATTTTCATTGCACTAAAATGACAGTTGAATAGGCAACTTGATTTTAATTTTGTTAGCCAATTTTTTAATGAACTCTAATCATAATAGTCATTACTTTTTTCCAATGAAAAACAAAAATAATTATTTAAACCTTTCACCCAGCATATTCTGATGTAAAAAGTAGTGCATTCAGCTAATTAAAGTGGCAGGATTGTTTATGCAAAATTTGGTATCTGTAGGTAATCATGAAGTATGACTTTATTTTGCACAAACAAATTCACAAACTCTTCAAAATATGTAACAGATAACTTCAACAAATTAATATAGATATTTTTAAGAAACCTTTGCTATTTTTTTTTTAATTTTCATATTTGTGAGAAACTCTGGGAAGCTAGAGAATTATTATTTAATTCCACTGTATGTTGAAATTAGAACAATTAAAGTTTTATAACTGTTAAAACACATATTTTCCACATCATGTACTAAAATATACAAAGTTAATGTCCTTAAATGCGTTTCTAAATTCTCAAGTAGCATTTTTTTCCTTTGCCTACATGTACATTTTGAATATGGATGGAACTATGTATTGTGAATGAAATTGACGTTTACTAATAAAAATCCAATTGTGCCAGGCCTAACTATGTCTCAGCTGGCCCTTCTGGAAGGGCCACATTTAAAGTTGAGATCACCATTTATTCTTTGAGTAAATGCAGTTCTTGGGCTTGGACTCTGCCAGCAAAAGTACGAATTGGTGCCTCATGTTGTCCTTTGTGGATGCTTCTCTACAAAAAGCTGAACTGAGGGCTCCAACTTAAGCCACTGTCCAACTGACATATCCAGCCTGAATTGTAATTGAATGGCAACATAGAGGTGAAAGACTTAACACCTTGTTACTAAACATTTAAACCATGCAAACTGTCTAAATGGTATTCTTAATGATGAATCTACCTTCTGTTTATGGCTTTTTTCTTCCGAACAGATAATGACCAAAAATCATCCCTGCCAAGTAAAATGGCTCAGCTTGCAGCAATTTGTAAACCACAGATAGAAGAACAATCAAGGTATGTTTACACTAGCGTTATAGTGAGAAGTTTATTTCACATCTGGATCACAAAATTTGGAATGTATTTAGTCAGCTATTGTGAACTAGAGTTAGCCAACCTGTAACTATTAAACTCAATTTTTCAATAGCATTATTTTCACTTTATTTAATGGATGAAGTAGTGCAAATTCCATCAGATTACTCTGTTTTTGCATGTCATGACATAAAATGGCCAGCGGCCTTCTGAATGTATTTAAGTGCGTATTTCTTATTTTTTCTTTTAGGGAATTAAAGATGAAATTGACAAGATCACCCTTAGAATGTAAATTGAGCTCTAGTGATGAATCTCTTCTGAAATGTGAACCTAACACTACATCATCCTGTCAAAATCCATCTCTTGTTCAGCCACTGGGTGTCCTGCCTCTTATCCACAATTCAGTTTCTCCAGTAATGCTACCTCAAACCCATTCTGCTATTTCATATGCTATATATTTGCATCCTTCCCAAGCTCAGACTGTGACAACATATAGCCCAAGTTTTACATTACAGTCTGTGCCCTGTCCCAATGTGACTAGAACTAAAAGTGTTTTGGATGGTAATTCAAAAATACCGCTTAGCCAAATGACCACTGGACAGGGGGACAGTAATGCAAGTGAAGTTAGCGTGGCAAACTTGATGGCTAAAGAGACACAAGTTACAAAAATTGAGTTTACACCAGAGAAGTGCCTTAAAAGATCTCAAGCATTACAGGAGAACAGTTCAATTAAGAAATGTAAAAGTGATGAGAAAAGTCTTGAAGATGTTTATACAGTAAGTAATGTAAGAAAAAATATAGCTTTTTTACCTTAATATTGTAGTGATGACATACTATTACAAAGTACTCAGGATCCTAATAGAAGGCACAAATAAATGGATTGTATAAAACATGATTTCAGGAGAAATTCAACTCTTAATTCAAAATTGTTTGGTTGAATTGTGGACAAATGTTCTTAAACCTTGATGGAAGTATATTGCTCTTAAGTTCCACCAGGGGTTGGCTTTAGATAGGGGTATCATACCAGTCTTATGGAGTGAGTGCTTTTTGTTTCAAGGTGGTGAGGAGAGTATTTAGAAAGATTGCACTGAATCAAAAGGCTGCTCAATTCCCTGCAATTCCGATTTTTGCAAATGTTCGGTATTTGCAGCAATTGTGAATAGTATTACACTTTCAGTATAAATCTTGAACTTGCCTTTTTTAAGGGTGAATGTCCATGGATACTGTGCTCATAGTTTACCTTGTGTTTGGCAAACATTCAGATAATACATAGTTCTGTCAATCAAAGCAAATCTTTGCAAGACCAAAACTTGAATCAGGTTATCTTAACAAATAGTTTGATTCAGGGGGAAAAAACCCACACCTATGAGTGTTTACAGAACATTTTAAAAGTATAACCAAAATCCAAACATGGTAACTTTATTTGCTGTCTTCCAGGGGATGTAATGCAATCTTTCTGGAGTAGTTCAAGAACTTCCTTACCTCAAAGTATTTCAAGGATTTTTTTTATCTAGTGTTGTTAATTCCTGACACCCTATATAAAAAATTATTCAGTTGAAACTTTTCAGGCCAAATCTCTAGATATATGTGAACTGTGCTGATGTACTTGGGAAATGTGGATAAGAATGTCTTTTTGACCCTTGTTTCTAAATCCTGGGACTATTTGATAACCAGTTTGGCCTCATAATGCACTTTAGCAGTCTTTAGGCTATGCTCTACTTTGTGCTTGCTGGAACAACCATAGGTCATCACTGTAGAGTGCTCTTACCATGCCCCTTCCCAACCATAGAACATCTAGGATGCTGGTGGGTGCAGAAGCAGGTAATGTAGAGCTGTCTGTGCTGGTACTTTAGTAGTCTACAGGGCAGAGTAACAAAGTGGAGTTTGATGCTATGGCTCTTTAAGAGGCTTTTTTTGGTAGTATTCATAAAAGATTTAATGAATGGAATTAGTTTTTGAAACATGACATTTCAAATATCTCATATAATGAAAGCAAATACATGATTTAAAGCTATATACTTAATTACATTTACTGTAGATATCTAAAACCCATCTTTAAAATGTCTTTTTTTCTTGTCCTTGTGTAATACATATTTTTTCAGGGACATTCTGTTAAGGGTGAAAGAACATCTTCTAGTACACTGCACTTGAAGCCTGAAATAAGTAATTTCCAAGAGGAAAACCAGCACAAATCTGAAAAACTAGATCAAAATGTGGAATGTTGCTTTGATCATGAAAGGAAAGGTCTTTCAGAAGATAAAAGCAGAAGCAGTACTACACAAGAGATGCCTGTTGCATTTGCTGTTTCTACTCATGAGGTATACTTTCCACTAATTTGAAAAAGTACAGCCCCCCCAAAGATGTATTAATAGTCAGAACATACATACAGGAAACCTCTGTGATTCATTTGGTCTTTAGTCTACCCTTAAGCTCTTATTTCTCATAGGACTCTACTGTATTACGCATACAAGTAGGGGAGGAAAAAATACTTTTCAGCAATATTTCCAATGAAGGTTGTGTCTCTTCATTAGAAATTCTTCTGGAGAGTCTTTAATTTTCCTCTTGTGCTTAATTTCAAAGGTTTATTTGGCTTTCAGTAGAAGCGTGTAAATTCTTGCATGACTAGCCTAATGAGGTTCTTATAGTTCTTAACTTCTACAATTTTTAATTGTACGAATAGAAAAATGCTCAAATTTAATTACATTAACATATAGTGAGATCTAGTATTTTTAAAATCTTGTTTCTGTTTTTAAAAAAAAACTAGTGGGCTGCATGCCATGCTCGCTACACTCGCCAACCCCCTCTCTCTCTGGTGGCTTTCGTGCCAGAGAGCATGAGAGTGTGATGACGTCCAGCGAGCGTAATGATGTCATTCTGTCGCCCAGCAGGAAAAACGTATTTACATATAGAGATTATAATATAATTCTTAATGGAACATGAAGTATCGATAAACTCTTTGCCAAAATAAATGAGCAATCTACTTTTGTTTGCTTTGGTGCTCATTTGCAAAACTCAGCACTCTATAGTGGGTGTCATCATTATTGGCTGTGTGTGTCTTAGAGGAGATTCGAGTTTTCTTGGCAAAAACAGATTTTATTATATATCTAAAAGGTATTATACTTATGGACTTTTATCAAAGGTCTCATCTGATCCGAGAATGGAATGATGTTGCCATTTGAGTCCAGACCTTGGTTTGTCAAAATGTGCATTCAAAAATTGTCAGCATTTAATTTAATCTCTAATTCAGCCAGACATATTTAACAGAAATGCAGCACACTCTACTTCTTGAGAAAAAGGAGGACCTTGAATTACATACTGAAGATTAATGTCAACTGAAGATAAGTGTTGAGAGGAAGTCCTGTTCAAGCCTCTGGCAGAAGTTAATCAGCAGAAAAGGATGCAACATAGGTCCTGCAGTGCAGAGAGAGTGAAAAATGGCATTAGGGTTTTTCAAAGACTACAGATTATACCATAAGAGACATATGAATATGTTTCTTATTACACCTGTGTGAAAAAAATATCCTTTCTTTTTCAGACCTTGTTTTCTTCAGGGTATCTTATTCCTCTTGCTCAGTGCTCACAAAATAGCAATGAGGCCATTTTTTCTAACAAGGAAAACTCTGGGATATGTTCGCTGCCACATGTGACCTACAGTTCACCTATTGCTGGTGTGTATATGTACACTATATATAAGTATTTATATAGATGTAACTATAATGGGGTGTGGTCACAGAAGACCCCTTGGGATTGTTCCCCAGTGTGCTGATTATGCCATCCTGACATCTGTCTTCTTGTTCTCTGTGGCTCTCCTCCGCCCTCCTGGGCCAGGTCTTCTGGTGTCCCATTCCTATCCCCAACAAGGCATAGAGTTGATGTTACCACCCCCCTGAAGGCAATGCGGATACTGAACCCCTTCAGCTCTGGGAGTTTGTAGTTCTAGGGCATAGCACCCAGGAAACCAACCCACAAAGGGATAAAACCCCCAAATAAATCAGTCTTTGTGCAAAAGGTTTACACAATGAAAGCTCATTCAGGAAAGCCTCCTTTATCAATGAAAGAACTATGTGCACACTAATTGTTCTCCCCCTCCCATAACAATAATTTACACTGGGCCCGACCGTAAACAAAAGTGTTGTTTTTTTTTAAAGTACAAGCTGTAGAATGTAAGTGGCTGCAAGTGAAAACAGCCAGATCAAAGTTACTAAAAAAATTAAAAGTATGCACATAACTAGGTGATATGGTCACGTCTTACTAGTCCAATCACTTTTGGACTTATAGGACAAACAGAGCTGTTCACTAGTCTTTAGTTGATCCGACTCGTCCTTAGTTGATCACCCAGTTGTTAAGACTTCCGGAGCACCAGTGATGACTTTTATTATCACATTTAAACGATAAACAGTCTCATGCGTCATATTTCTAACTTTACATACAAGAATGATACATGCCCCAAAATAGGATATACAGATCCAATAGATTGTAACACTAATATTGATAGATTACATGTTGTATTTTGTCCAAAATATCTTTGAGTTAAGTGTATTTATATTTATATAAGCCAGTTTTCATAAAGCAAGGAGGAGGACCGTCACAATAAGTTTTCTGGTTTTGAGCATTGTGAACCAGTTTCACCCAGAAGAAGTCAGTGAAACTACCAGTCATGGATTTGGCCCTTTTGGAGTCTTAGGGTGTGTCTACACTTCAATTAAAAAAAACCACACAACAGTGAGTCTCAGGGCCCAGTTCAGCTGACTCAGGATTGCGGGGCTCGGACTGCAAGGCAAAATACCTAACATGATAGATAGTTGGGCTCTGGCTAGAGCCAGGCATCTGAAAACCTCCCTCCTCACAAAATTTTGGAGTCTGGGTTCCAGCTCAAGCCCGGATGACTACACTACTATTTTTAGCCCCCAGATTGAGCCTGAGTCAGTTGACCTGAGTTCTGAGACCCATTACCATATGTCTTTTAGCACAGTATAGACACCCTCATCTGTTAAAGGTTGATTTTTAATTTCCAACTCCATTTTTCTTTCATAGGTGTTATTCCAGTGACAGCTTCCGAATTTACAGCTGTTAATATTCCTGCTTTTCATGTCACACCCTTGAAGTTAATGGTACCACCATCTTCTATAGCTGCTGCACCTGTAGTAAATAGCTCATGTCTTAATTCAAGCCATAGTAATCCTGTCCAAAACCCAAGCTCTTCAATTCTGAACTTTACTCTACAACATTTAGGGCTCATACCTGCTGGTATGCAAGTTTCTCCAAATCCTGTACTTCAACCAGTGCCAATCTCTCCAAAACAAGAATCTGTTAGTCCTGTTTCAGAGAATGCTA